TTTAATTTTTTTCAGATATTTAAAAATGATCATTGGCTTCCATAAGAGTTACAAGAAACATTTATGTCAGTATAGGGGTTGTGGATATTATTAAGCTTTTTATTGAGATCATGAACCTATTAATGTTAGACCACCGTTGGAAACTTGGAAGCACTGAACGGCCGTTTCGTCCTATCGTGGGACTCCTCAGCAATGCCAATCCACGATCCCGCTCGCGGGATTCGAACCTAGGGCCTTCAGTTTCGCGCGCGAACGTTTAACCTACTGGACCACTGAGCTGGCATTCAATGATGTTAATGTCTACTCTCAACCAACTCACGAAATTGCGCGACCGTCTTCCATTGTACTGAGGTAGATATCTGTCTCTACTCGACACGGGTTAGCTCCACCGGTCACAGCTTCTCACTAAAACTCCGAGAATCCCGTCACGAAGCTAGCTAGTGGGTTCAAAGCTCGCGAGCGGGATCGTGGTTGTGCACTGCTAAGGAGTCCCACAATAAGAGGAAACGGCCTTTCAGTTCTTCCAGGTTTTCAATGGTGGTCTAACATAAATCGGTCCATGATCCTAATCAAAAACATCTATATATTCGATATTTTCAACTAGTTTTAACAAAGTTATCGTACGACAATGGTAACCTAAATTTACCTCTGATTACATAATCTAAATGTAAATTCACTACTCTATTTCAATAGATTTCGAAATTATAAACAATGGTTCTCATCGATATACAACCAATAAATTAGTCTATTTTTCTTTTTTTCAAGACATTGTTAATATAAAATTAATCTAGTGACTTTCAGTTGTAAAATACAGTCACTCATATTGCAAATGCATTTAATAAGAGATATGTAAAAATTGATAAAATCAAAAGAAAATAACCAAAATAGCTCGAGATTTTCAAAGTAAGAAGAAATTAAGTTATTTATTGAAACTACATATATATGTTTTACCACTTTGAGAGAAATATATAAAATATTATAGCCCTAGGAAATTGTGTACATAATTCGACAATGCAATGAGATAAGGAAGACTATCAGAATTATGTGATATATTTGCACAATACATTTGAACTATCCGATCATACATATACTTGTTAAGATATTATATATGAAAAATAAAAGGTTAACTAGATAAAATGAAAGGTAAATAAAAATAATCAAAAAAATACACAAAAAAGCAATGTGAAAACCACTGTGTATAATAAAATTTCCACTAAAATAAGGACTTGTCAGATTACAGTTTTAGTATGTATATACTTTATTTTTTTATACTTAAATGGTGTCTTAATCCTGAACCTTTATGAATTGTTTAGGTCCATGAATAAGATGGTGGTTGGAGGTAGTCAATAGGAAACTCTGGACCGAGTTCCGTGCTACTTGGCACTCGTCAGCAAGGTGTACCTGTAATCTCACCCAGCTTCACAGTCAGAGGTGTTACCACTGAGCTATCCGGGCTGCAACCTACCTCCTGTAGGACTGAAATGTAGTTACAATTTATTGATCACTGGGTGTTGATCAATTTCATGTATGTCAAGTTCTTAGTGAGGATCGAATGCTATCGACCAAGTTGTAATGTGGCCACTAGTCTAGGTGACTCAACATTGTGTGCACTATGTTGAGATAAGATGGTGGTTGGAGGTAATCATGAATAGTTTACTGAAACAATTAGATATGTTTTCGTGTATACATGGAGAAATATTTACCAGGTCATCAATGTTTGGTCATTAATATCAGTTAACAATTTGTTCACCAAAAAACATTATTTCAGATATTAAGATTTCTACTTTGGAAAATACATTGTTTTATCAAAATAACAATTAAAATGTGAGCCTTTTTATTCAAGTAAAGTCCAAGGATTAGTAATAGTATCAAATAATTTATTTTATCATATTTACATCATTTTCTGATTAGTTTTATGAAATGAACTTATCAACATAGATTATTTCATCGGAAAAACTAGTTAAAAACATTGGATTCTAGCTTTCCTTTATCTTAGATATTAACGAATCATATTGTTGTTAAGTGTCAAGGTCAAATCTATCAGTAAACTAAATATTTTTTTTTCTAAATTGCTTTAGATCAATATTCACTATCTGAATGATACTTGATATCTCGTTTTAAGTTTTATTCCTAATGACCTGAAAAATATTCTTTTATTAGAAATTGTGAATAAACTTTCATAGTTTTTCTTTTAAAATAATAAACTATGTAATCTATGGATAAATCGGAATAATATTGATTTCATGAGTATAAACCATTTCACTCATTAGTAACGTTCGAAGAAGAAATTGGATCGTCTAAATTTTTACATCTATATAAGGAAAAAGGTGATGAGTAATTTATTACATAGAAAGTTATGACCATTTTGATTCCGTTGAGGATTTTTTTTATCCGCCTCAGTAATTGTAACACTTTGTACTAAAGTATTTTCTTAGTTTTAAATTCAAAAATTTGAGTTGTCGTTGAGTGTATAAAGCTAATCAGAAAGAATGCTTAGTTGGAGATTTCATGAATTGAAGAAATTCGTAAGAAAGAAAAGGAAACTCAAGGTAATTCAATGGTATAAACATGACTCCCTTGTGATTATAAGTGAAAATCATCACTGAACATCTATGGTGGCTATTATTTTATTAAAACAATAAACTAAAAACAATAATTATATTCTAGAGGTTACATTATGCAATGACATACCAACGTCTACATCTAACTAATTGTTTAAGACTAATTATTGTCAAATATGGTACTAGACTTCTTATCTTGATATCGTATTATAATTTCAACTAAGGTTTAGATAATGTAATGTTAACTGCTTTGGGTTGACCTATATACGTACAGAACAAATTACCCCGTTGTAGTGTTGAATAAATACACGTTAATGTCTAAAATGGGTATATATACCTTACCTGAGATATCAAGTGTTTTAACAAAAATATTCTTTATGATGAAGGTGTTGGCTGTTGACTTTAACATAAATATAATTACTAAAATCATTTTACATGATTTTCAACTGATAACCTGTAATAAAACCTCTCTTTCATGATTTTTTAAATAGTATCAGACATTAGTTCGTTAATTCGTTAATTTTTAATTCACATAATGCTTGTAATGCAATCAACTTTCTAATCTGTGTATCAAGTAGATGATCAATTTAATAAGTTTCGAATGTTTATTGTTTTGATGAGCAAATAAACTTCATTTAAAGTCATAATTTGACCACGATTAATGTCGTAACTGACTGGGAAACTATATCTGTTCAATAAGAAATACATTTAGCAAAAATGGCTTTTGTGTACATTGTTTATGCTCCATTATCTCGTTGCGTTACTTTGTCAAATTTCTTATCGTCTAATCAAAATGTGAAACCTGTGATGGACGCCACTAATGAAATGAATAGTTTTACATTAACTAAAAATATCAACCATTATGTTTTAAACAAAACGGTTATTTCTAAGCCACAATTGCATACATGTTACTTTCTTTTTATTAATTATTTAGTCAGAGTTTTCTAGTTTACTCATTTTTCTCTTCTTATGGAATAATGAGGCAAAAATTAATGAGATTACCCTTTTAAAACAAAATAAACTACAAAATGGATTGCTTATAAACATCTTGGAAATTTTAACTTAATTTTCATAATAAACAAGGAATGATTCAAAAAAGAAACTAACACATAATTGTAAACTTAATAAACAATACAAAAAATTAATGTAATGCCTGAAACTAGAAAGAACACATTAAGACATAAAATTCAACCATTAATAATAGGCTTTTTCATTGTAAATATCAAGCTACTTATGCTTTCAAAATACTTAACATCTAATTCACCTGTAGTATTGCATTTGATATTTTATTACTTGACAATGTTTGTGCAGTTTTGTTTTACTTATCTATTTAGGTAATATTTTAGATATGGAAGAGATTGTGCTTTTTAACAAACTTGTTCGGTTTTAAATATCTCCTGAAAAAGATATGCTTCTAGTGCATGTTATTAATGTTTGCCAAGATTTTATTTTATGTGGATCGAGTGATCTCATTGTGAAAACAAAGTTTAGTTTACTTTGATTTTGAATAGACAGATGACCTATCTACTTAAGTGATTAAAGTAGTACCAAGTTTCGTCTGGGAGGAAAAGAAAACATGAAATATCACAAAGTTCTGATAATCTCCGTCTTCTAATTACATTATCGAAATTTATAAAAGGGACTAATTGTTTTAAACATGAATTACTTATTACCAGAAATTCATAATCAGCAAAACGTTTTTTCTGGTTGGGAATACTCCACTCATTTCACCTTTAGTGAATAAATTTACGCTGATCCAGGCACAACAAAAACAATGCTTCATTGTCAATTGTTGTGACATGATAAGAGGTTATTTAGGAATTGTTTTAACTCTTTTTAAATTATTCTAGATGTTTTACATACAAATATTTATTCTGGATATCTAAGACAAATAGCGACGATAATTATTAGTAAATAAAGAAGGTTGAAATAAATAACTCGAGGGATCATATAATTCTAAGTGTTCAACTACCATATATATAGCATGCAAACCAAATATACATAGAAAAACAGGTAAACAGTGTAATTCTACTAATATGGGAATGAAATTAAAGCAAATGATTCTTGTATTCTATGAGTCGACCTAGTTTAATTACTAGAATTTCATCTGTGATAATGAAGTTAAGAAACACATTTTTTCATATGCCTTTTACAACCAATTTATCTATATGATGAAACTATTCGGCATCAAGAGTTCGTTGAAATGTCTGGGAATTTGGTAAAATATTTATTGTACATCAGTTATCGATTGAATTCTGATTATCCTTGATAAAAAATACCTTTCGAAACCTATCAGTATTACTTCTTGCATAGGTTCCTTTATATTCATTCTACCAGTTTACATAATGAGCTATATATATAGCACAACAGAAATCTATCGTTTTCACGATATACCGAATAGCTATCAAACAACGAGTAAATGGAGTTTTAAAAACTTACAGTTTTACAATAAAAGGATGATTTAATTGCATTAGTATTGACTTTTCGTTCTTGACATGTTCTACCTGTTTCAGTCGTACCAATTCCTCGATTATCAACACTTTCAATGCATAGTATTGTTGTGAACATTTATCATGAACCACAATTACACGACCAAAGGTTCCTGTGCCTATAAAAGATATAAAAAAGTTCAAATTCATCTCTAGATCCTTCTGACGTGATAAGTTGACGTTTGCATTAATGAATTAGGTTTATATGTATCGTATATGTCGACTTTACCATTTTGGCTTTCAGTGAGTCTTAACACAATGAACTCTTTTAAATAATTAAGCTTAGATTATTGTTTAAAGATTCATGCTGAAAACAACCCCGATTAATAACTGGTAATTTTACAGATATTTTTAACTAGGAACACTACGTTATTTAGCCATTTGTCTCACTCAGTTCATTTACATATCTTTTTCATTTCAGCAGTAAATTTGTCAATATAATGACAGATGAACAAAGAGTCATGTAGATAAGCTAACTCGAGAGTGAATACACTAAGTATTTCAATAACCAGCTACTTTAAACACTACATTCCATTCTACAGCATTCAGCAATACCATCTTGAATGTAAACTGTTGCATGTATTTTATCTTGAATGCCAGTAGGCCTTGTTTTACGACTGTTTCTATCACTGACAAGTACGAACGTCAGGAAGATTAATGTTTAAAAACAATCGTGACATTTTTTCTGTATGTTATAAAAAAAATGGTCCCTTGTATGCATTCCAATGATCAGATATTTTCATTCCACGTAACCCTTTCTCTTTCTAGTTATAAACATTTCAGAAATGTTATGGTACCAAAAAGACGATAGATCTTAAGTATCATTTAGTGACAAATATATGAACAAGGTCATGAAAATCCATAAGTCATTATTTATTCAATTTAGTATAAATATGATTTTTTTCTATGAAGCAATCACATTAATCAGAGATTTATAGATGTTACTGAAAAAACGACTATTTATGTTACACAAATAAGAACAGTATAGTGTGATCGCTTTAAGATCTTAATAGTGAAATATCTGAAATGAAAAATACGATTAGTGTAACTTAAATTGGAACCAGTTATATATATATATATATATATAACAATAATATCATAAATTGATGATAATGAAAACCTAAGCTATTTTCAGGACATTTTTAAAAGTTTTTCTTCAAACCCTATAATTAATTGATTGTAAATTCACTTCCTGGAAAAGTTAGTAATGGTTAATACAGAAACATCTTAAAAAGTATCAGTGACGTTTTAATGGATCCCATGTGAACTAAAAATACTGTCCGATTATTTAATATTATCTTGAGATTTAATTTTGCATCTGCTGTGTTACCGACTAACCAATATCTTTAGAGGAAATATTGAGTTACTTCATTAAAATGAATCAAAACCAGTTATAATAATTTTATGCTAAATTGTAAAACCCATTATGTAATTAATATAGAACCATGATGGAAGAATACTTATTCGATTAACATATATTTCTAATGGATATTTAATACAATATAAATTCTAATATTTATTGTGGCATCAAGGGTAATAAACTTCAAAATTATTTGTTCTCAGTGGTAAATTTGAAGAATCACACTGGTCTATTAAGAATAATGTAAAATTGAACAAGGTTACAATCATTGTGTATTAGCCTCATTTACTATCCCAAAGCTTAAATGGTAGAATAATGACAATACATCAAAAAGTTTGTACACGATATACAACATAATGTAGTCATAAAACAATATGGTTTAATGACCGTTGTGTTTGTACTACACTATGTTATGCACTTTTTTCTTTATATAAAACAGTAAGTCGGATTAGTTCAGCGGTTTACAAATATGAACGTTATCTTCCATTAACTTGAATTATAATTTACTTTAAGATAGAATCAATAAATGTATACAAGTATATATGTAGCTGAGTGAATAACGCGATAGCGTTTGAAGCGAATGGTACTGGGTTCGAGTCCCAGAGCGAACATCAACTCTGAGATGCAGGCACATCCAGCTGACGAGCCCCAAATAAGATGAAACGCGTGTCCTAGATTCCACTGCTAGCCACTATCCATCATTGCTTACAATATAGCTTGTGAATTAAGGTAATATCGAGGCATACGCACAGTATGCACATATGTCAATAACAGACTTATCACTTGCAGTCTTAAACCTCAATGGGAAGATACAAGCCAAACAAAACCAAGTGAATATATGTAGTAGAGTTAAGCAACCTTTAATTCCCAATGAATAATTTTTAATATGTGTAAAACACTATCTTTTAGATGTTATTTAAACGAAATATTCTTTGATAAACTCCTTACGATAATGATAATTGAAATATCAAACGACCATAAAATAACAAACTTCATTAAAGACTATTTATAACTTTGAACTTTATATTATTCTAATTGTAATCCTTTCAATTATTCAGTTTACATACATCGTATTAATATAGTTACTTTAGAAACTTTTGAAATGTGATTAATAAACTATCAAAATTTCGTTTTTTCACATTTGTGAAAATACTTGAAATCTGATTTATTTACATAAAACAAAATAGTTCTCAGTTTTTCTTTTATTTGCTATGGTAACATAACTATTGTTGTACTACATCACATTGATTTTTTTTAATTTACGTTTATTTATATCACCATATGATTGTTCTTCTCTTTAATAGTTCATTATTATATATTTAAGGGTAATTAGGTTTGAAATATGTTGTTCATAGCTAACATTAACTTATTTTCATTTATTTCATTATTTAACCATTTGTAATTTTTCATTACCTCATTAACCGATAACAATTGCTATATCATTTACATTTTAAAAAAAACATTTTATTTAGTTTTATCAATTTTATTTAGATCTTTACTACTGATATATCTTGTTGTTGTTTGAATGCTACATGTTATGTCTGATCGTCGCTGATTGTTGTATTGGAAACTCTTATCACTTATAGTTGAAACATGGGACCTATACAACTATACCATGATAACAAGCGTTCTTATTAATAACTCCCAAAAACAAGAACAAAACAAACAAACAAAAAGAAAGTTTTGAAAGAGGAAGAATGAATTTGTAAAATCTTAGCGAAAGAATTTGAAGTAAATCCAACGTTTTGCCTGGCAATCTGGTTCAAGCTTTTTCAAATTCTTTCGCTGAGATTTTAACAAATACATTCTTCCTCTTTAATGACTCACATTAACTCAGCGCCCAAATATTGTGAAACTATTCGTTCAAATTTAGACGAAAGTTCTTATTTAAAAAGAAAGTTCATTTCTATAAATATGTTAAACATCAGTCGTTTTTTTTAATAATTTTAATTTTGAATGATTACATAATGTAAACAATTAATAAGATCTTGGTAAAATATAATGGATTCATGTCTATTTTATTGTTATTTTTATTACACTTATCAAGTTCAATTGTTTAATTGTTTTACTATTTTTTTAATTTTTAATGAATGTTTACAAAATACTATTTATAATAGGTTCAATGGAAACTTCTTTGAAAAAAATAATAATAACATAATTTAAGAAAACAGAAAAGTGATTTATTGATTTTTGATAGTTGATTGATTACAGGTATATTTCCAATATCATACTTTAAAATAATCGATCATTTTTTCTCCAAGTATAATCTGATATTTAAAATTGAAAGATTTTTTATATTTGATTACTTATTCAATTAGTCAGTTACTCAATGTTTGATAGATATAAACTATTGACCATTCATCAAAATATTTTATTAATTCCTTCCTTTTCTTTTTTTGTTTTATATATTATGCAACGTAGCAACTATTTGATTTTTCAATAAGTAGTTTGATTATTATTAATAATCCTCTTGCTTTCAATTACTGTATGTTAATTTATGATCGATATGTCATTATATAATTATAAAGTATTGTATCTACTCGATGAATATTATTTCAATTATATGTTTAGCAATAGAGGATGATGGATGTTCATCCTCTGCTCTTATTGGGTCACCTGATTGTATTTGACCAAATGTCACTTTGTAGATATGTATTTATAGTGTTTATTCACAGAACTTCATAGGGTTTCATTTAAAGGGAATTATTAGAGAGTTAAATTGATTTAATGACATCTTATCATAACAAAATAAAAAGTCTATTTCATAAATTAAAGATTTTGTTTTAAATCATAAGAAATGCATGATAGTTTTTTTTTTATTAAGTGAACTATATCACACTTCATTTAAACATTTATTTTAACCTATTGGGCTTCATAATGAAGCATCACTTGACATTTAAATAATTTGTGCTTCAATTGTTGTTTTTTTAAAGTAAATGGATGAATTATTTGTTGAATGAAGGAAATAGATGTATCTATATACACTTTCATATTGTTAGATCAAAGCATGAGATTATTATAATATCTAGTGTTACTTAAATCACATTTGTATTTATTCACAACATTTTAGGTATCTAAGTTAAAATATTATTTAATTAAAACCACGTGTTGTACAAATGAAATGAACTTTATAAGTGAAGATTCTATTTTCTTTTAAACACATCATATTACATTTCATTGTAGAATACTATTGAAGTTCAGTGATAGTGAAACTAATCAAATGAATTCCATTATTGTTTACAAATTTTAACATTCGTAATATTCAACTAAGTAACAATAACTGCTTCTTTTATTCAGTAGTAAATTTTCATAGCTTTGTAAAGATCAACAACGAATGCAACTGTGAAAAATCGTTATTTTTGCATTTTATAGTATAACAGAATCAGTAATTTAGACAATCAGATAGAATACTACTACAAAAAAAATCATGAGTCTCTGAATGTCCCCGTTGTGAAGAATAATGTAATCTAAATTCTTTTAAAATCTATATTGTTCTCAAATCTTACCATACTCATATGCACGATTTACGTGAATAAACATACTTGATAACAGAAGAATTCAGAAGAAAGTTTTGGAACACGATTTTATGTTCAGTGATATTTCAATTTTTGAGAAAAGACTAACCTATGTTTACATTAAGAGAAGTAATTGATGGGTAGATCTGAAAATAAATAAGTTCCAATAATAAATTATATGAAATAACCTGAATGTTCATTAGTTTCCTTAGAGTTACAGATGAATTTTATTAATGAATTCGAA